AGGCTGCAGCGGTCCAACTGGATGCCCACCTCCTGCTGGGCCCTCCCCCAACCGACCCTGCAAATCTTGGCTGGACCATGGCACTCCAGTTAAAAACAAAAAACCTTCAAGGGCTGCCCAATGTTCTCAGCCTGATGTCCAAATTCCTTAATGTGATTTAAGGAGAGGTCTTTGTGACCTCTCCTGCCTCATCGATCTGCTCTGGGGTCCTACACTTCCCCCTGCCCCCATATGCAACCCCTTGCTGAATGACCTGAGCCTGCCTCTCTCTCTCTCTCTCTCTCTCTCTCTCCTTTCTCTCTCTCTCTCTCTCCTCTCTCTCTCCTCTCTCTTCTCTCCTCCCCCGCCCAGGCCCCTCAGTCACTGTTTCCTCTGCCTACAGCATCCCTGAGTCCACCCTACCCCCTATAGTCTGGCACACCTCTCATCTTTTAGACCTCCCTTTAAATGGGTGTCTGCCTACCAAGGATGCTCCTGACTCCCTAGCCTGCATTAGAAGGCCCTCACCTGTGCTCCAAAACTAGATGGATGGCAACAGAGTCTAGAGCACTCTGAAGGCCTGGATGGAAGAACTTGGACTTGACATAATGGGTGCCTTGGGCTCATTATAAGTGATATGGTGAATATGATATCCTTAAAAAAAAAAAATCAGTCTGGCAATACTACACCCTTAAAAATAATCAGTGCTGGGGCGCCTGGGTGGCTCAGTCGTTAAGCGTCTGCCTTCGGCTCAGGCCATAATCCCAGAGTCCTGGGATCGAGCCCCGCATTGGGCTCCCTGCTCGGCGGGAAGCCTGCTTCTCCCTCTCCCACTCCCCCTGCTTGTGTTCCCTCTCTCGCTGTCTCTGTCAAAATAAATAAAATCTTTAAAAAAAATCAGTGCTATCTTAGGCAAAAGTTGACTGAACTGGGAAGAGGTGAGCATCTGCCTGCTAGATACATATTCCCCTTCTCTTTGGGTAAGAACCCCAGATTTTCCCAGGGGAAACCACCCCTTTCTCTTTCTCTGTCCACTAGCTTGGGAGGAGCTGATGCTGCCCCAGTTGGGGGCAAGGGCCAATGAGAGCACCCCATCCCCCTGGCCACAGTGACTAGCTCAGGGTCAGGCGTGAGACCCCAGGTTGGTCCAACTATACTCACTTCTGGACACTATTTAGAGAAAAAGCTCTTTTTCCCACGGATTGTTATAGTGATACGATGTAAGCCTAGAGCCTGCTGAGAATGACACCAACAACACAGAAGAAAGCTGAGACAAGAACTGGAAAGAGACAGATGCTGACAGCTTTGTCTGAACACCTGTCTGGACTTGGCCATGGCTTAGCTAGGACAGACTGCTCAGGGACAGGAGCCAATCAGTTCTGTTTGGGGCGTAACAATTCCAGCTGGGTTTCGGTCACTCACAACCAAGAATCTTGACCCACACGTAAAGGTAATCAGAATTAAGGGGATAGCACAACACAACACCAAAATAGTTCTACCAATCTGTGGACTTGCAGTTCCTGCTAAAGGTGATCTTTCAGAAGCAATCACACAACTCCATCTCAGTAAAGGTTCTGCTTGCTGGTGGGCATTTGTTAGTGTCATGGCCTTGCTACTAGTCTGGGCAATAAACCACCCATGACGTGTAGCCAATAACCTCTTACTATCTCAGTCTGCTTCGACTGAATCTCTAACTCGATTCAGTACACAAGGACCACAGGCACACGGTTTCCCATTATTTAGCAAAGTAGAACTCTAACAGAAAGATTCCTTTCCAGTTTGAAAGCTGAGAATGTTAGGAAGAATAATGTGGTTCAAAAGCAATTCCCGCTCTCTACTATCTTCTTGATTTTTCTTTAAATCTCAAACTGTTCTTAATTATTTTTAAAACGGGGAGGGTTCCTAGGTGCTTTGCATGTCCAAAAAAACTTAAAAAAAAAAAATCTAAATTCTGGGGCACCTGGGTGGCTCAGTCGTTAAGCGTCTGCCTTCAGCTCAGGTCATGATCCCAGGGTCCTGGGATCGAGCCCCGCATCAGGCTCCCTGCTCAGCGGGAGACCTGCTTCTCCCTCTCCCACTCCCCCTGCTTGTGTTCCCTCTCTCACTGTCAAATAAATAAAATCTTAAAAAAAAATCCTTTTTAATCTTTCCTCTCCACCCACACTGCCCTAGGTCAAGCCAAGAGTATATTAGGGTGACCAGGACTTTCCCAGTTTTAGCACTGAAAGTCCCATGTCCTGGGAAATCCCTCAGTCCCAGGCACACCGGGATGGTTGGTCACTCTTCGTGTCAGATGAAGCCCAAGCCCCATTCTACCTGCAGCCTTATTTCCTACAACCACCAGCCCCACATTGATACTCCACAAACCCCAGGGTCCCCCTCCCACATCCTGCAGCCCCACATGATGGCTCTGTCCTTGAAGACTCTGCTCTGGTGTTGCCTCCCCCAGAAAGCTTCCAAGGGTTCCTACAGAACCCTGACTAGAGATCCCAGCACTTGTCCTGCTCTGCAGTCACTGGCTTTATGGCTGTCTCCCCCACCAGCCTGTGAACTCCCTCAGGGAATGAGCTGTTCTGTACCTATGGCCCAAGATGCTTACTATCAGAGCCAAATGAAGAACATCACAAGCACTGGGGTGAGCACTAGCTGTTTATGACACTCTTTTCCAAGTCATTTTGGGATCTTCTAAGCCCCACAGCCGTCTGCAAATTGCCAGGTTCCTCAGACTGTAATATGGATTAAGCTGATCTGCCTGATCCAGGACAGGCAGCTCAGGTTTCCAAAAGCACCCAATGGCCTTTTAACCCTAAACAATGAACCTGGGCAGTTCCCAGACACTTCAAAGGAATCTGAGAACCTTTACCATTCCCTGGCTGGCTGGTGGGTAAAGATGCCCCATCGGGCAGAGAGACTCAACCAAGTTGAAAGTCTGCCCAAACTGACTTGGGAAGCAGCTTCCTTCAGAAAGACAGTGCAGTGGTGCGAGCACTGAAGTCAGATCCAGGCTTCTTGACCGTTTCAGTTGTTGTCACCTTTTGGCAAGTGACTTAACCTCTTTGAACCTTAGTTTCCACTTCTATAAAATGTAAAACAGTAACAGTTCCTATAACTCAGATGTGTGAGGACTAAAGGAAATAACACACAGGAAATCCTCAGTAAGTACCCAGCACAAAAAAAAAATGCATTCAATAATTATTAAAGTACTTTACAAGGGCTGGAGGCAGGCAGAGCTAGGTGAAAGCCTGTAGGTACCTGGATGCTGGTGGGAGGCCCAAACTCTGTTAGATAACCATCCTCCCCTTCTCAGCCACATCCACCCACTCTCTAAATTCCTGAAATCCTTCTGCCTCTCCCTTTCCAGTCCAGCTGCTGTCCCATTTAAGATTCCTGACTTCCCTACACACCCCCATCCTGTCCTGTGCCTCTCTATGTCCTCTCATCACTTCCCTAAAACCATGCCTTACGACATACTGATCCCTCCTGTCCCCCAACGGAGACTCACAAACATTTATGAAACGCCTGTTCCGTGCTAGAAAAGACACAGCTGAGAAGCACAGCACCCCGACCCCTGGCCAAATGAGAAGCCCCAGCTGATTTCCCTCCCACCAATCCTTTCCATGGGCCCCTGTCTTCCTTCTGCTCCCTGCCTCCCCCCCTCTAACCTTCTTCCTTCCCATTAGTAATCTTCAGAGCTCCCTCTGGAAACCAGCCTATTTCTTACCACCAAAAGATTGCCTACTCCCAACCCAAATGCCCCCCCCACTAGATTTTCCTCCCTGAAGTCATTCCCTCCACAAAAGTCTCTACTTTCCATCACCTCACCCCCCCCAAATCCTAGGTTTGTCTGCATGCTCTGCACCTGTCCCCAATTCACCCATTTTTTTCCCCACTCTTTCGGTAGCCACTGAGCTCCTACTGTGTGCCAGGCACAGCACTAGATGCTGGAAATACAGCTGTGAGCAGAACAAGCAGTCTCTGCTCTCCTGGAAGTACCAGTTTAGGAGCAGACAGAAAAGGAGTAAAACAGGGTAAAGGCAGATACTGAAAACAGGCATTGAATGAAAGCAAGAGAAAGATCAGAGGGAAAGGAACTGAAGTGGGGAAGCACTTTAGGTAGGGTGGTCTGGGAAGGCCTGACCTAGCTGATAAACACAGCTACAACTATTAGCCACCTACAGTGTAAGAGACACTAGATCAATCTCTTTCCATGCATGACATTATTGAATCCTTGAACAGTGTACACCATCCCCATTTGCAGATGGGGAACCAGAGGCTCAAGGAAGTGAAGTAATTTGGCAAAGGTCACATAGCCATTAAGCGGTAGAATCAGGATTTGAATGTAGGTCTGACTGCAAGGCCATTCTGTGCACTTCTGCTTCCCAGGACCATGTTGGCCACCTGTCCTCCCCCAGAGCTCTACTTCTGATAGCACCCTCCTTAGACTCCAAGGGGAAAAAAAATTTAACGATTGTCCTTTATTGAGCACTTGTACATGCTTCCAGTTTTACGAGCATTCCCTTACCCAACCCTCAAAACAACCATAGGGAGTAGGTGCTGTCACTATAAGCACTTTACAACTGAGGAAACTGAGGCCTAAATTCACACACTTAGATTCGAACCCCGATCTGACTCCCAGGGCCAGATCTCTGGCCCCTAAGCTGTCCAGCCTAAGAAGTACCACCCCAGAAGCTTGGTGCCCACCACTGTCCCCCGGGAACAATGAACTCTGCATCCGTAAACTGAAATCTATGTCCTTACTTTACAAATGGGGATACTGAGATTCTGAGAAGCTAAGCCACTTGCCCAAGGTCACACAGCGAGGAGAGACGGTGTCAGGGTTCGAACCCAGGCGCCCTGACTCCAGAGCCCTCGCTCTTAACCATCGTACAGCCTCTCCCGGGGGTCTCTCTCCGCCCTCCACCTCGCTCTCACGCCTCGCAGCGCCCCCAGCCCGGGGCTATGCGCCCCCAACCCCACGTCCAGCCCCGCGGCCTGGCCCCCTCAGCCCCCAACACACTCACTTGAGGTGGTCCAAGGAGTGGATGTTGCGGGAAGACTTGCCATGGCCCCCGCCCACCCAGCTCCGCGAGCGGCCAAACATGTCGGCGGCCCCGACCCGTTGCCCGCCTCACGGTCTCATGGCCGAGCGGCCGGGCGCCGCAGCGGCAGCACAAGCGGAGGAGGCAGCCGCGGAGGTGGTAGAGAGACCGCCAACCACCTTCCTCCCCGGCCCACAGCTCCGCACTGACATTCAGCCGGAACCGGCCGTTCGACCGCCGCGCTTTACGGCCGCCGCCAGGAGGAACGCTGGGAAGTGCAGTTCGCTCGCGAGGCCCCCGCCGACAGGACTCTGCGAACGAACTACAAGGCCCGGCGTGCATCACGCAACTGCGGGCCTGCGGCCTTGGAGAAGAGGCGGAGCGAGAGGAGGGGGAGAGCCTGCAGTATCGGAGGGTGGGCGGGAATGGGAAACCTGTGCGCGCAGGCCTGAGGAGGGAATCGGTGAGGATGGGTGCTTGAAAGTAACCGCAATGTTTACAATCTTTAGCTTGTATGATAAGAATAAGAATAGCTATTGCATGGCGTATCCTATGTGCCACCGTCCTGAGCGCTTTACATATACTGATATTAAAGCTAACCACCAACCTATGAACTGGGTACTAGCCCCCATGCTACCTACGGCGAAACTGAATCACAGAGGGGTTGACTTACCCAAGGTCATGCAGCTAGTCCGTGCGTGGTTCAAACCCTGGCACCCTCATTTTATGCCCCAGTAAGTTAATCTGTACCAAATCGGCAATGGTCTTGACTGTCCTTACAGCTTTTTTTTCTTTTTCCACTTCAACTTAAAAAAATAGATTTTGAGGGGGGGGGAAAGGCCTTCAGGCAACAGTGTACCAAACTGAACGTCCTCTGCTTTCAGAGGGTTTCTCTAGTCTTCACCCAAAAGTCAAGCAATTCCCAAAACTACCACATTGAAGAAGAAGAAAAGAAACATCCAACTCCCCACATGAGCAAAAAAAATGTATCTAAATTTCTGTCCTGGAGTAGGAGTGAAGCTCCCCGGAGGCAAGACTGCCCTGTTCACCCTTCCTTCCTTCCTTCCTTCCTTTCTACACTGCTATTATCTAAGGCCTACTGTGTCCCGTTAACTGTGCTCAGTTGGGCTGAGGGCCCATGTTCTCCCCACTGCCTAGCACAAAGTTTGGCACATCGTAGGGGCTCAACAAATACTGGCAGAGTGAATGAGCGACAGAATGAAGGTGTATTTCACCTTCAGCAGTTGGAGATTTAAAGGTTTGCTCTGTAATTCACCTAAAGGGGCAAAGAGACAGTACTGGAGAAAAACGGGCAGTTCTAATCTCCAAACACACACAGACCTAGCTTCTTTCCAGGCCCTCCCTTTTCTCTGGGCCTAGATTTCCTCATCTGTACAAAGGGGTAGCACCCTACACAGCCACCTCTAGCTGCAATTAAGCGATGTATGTAAAACACCCAGCTCAGTGTGACCTGAGATTTAAAGGTCTGTCCTGGCGCCTGGCTGGCTCAGTCAGCAGAGCATGCGACACTTGATGTTGGGGTTGTGAATTCAAGCCCCACTTTGGGTATAGAGAGGACTTAAAAATCAAATCTTTAAAAAATAATAAAGGTCTGTTGAACTGCTCTGGAAGGCGCTTTGGGCAAGATAAGTCTCCTGAAAGATATACAAGGGTGCTCATGAGAAGGGGAATCAGGGAAGGCGAGACTCACTTTTCTGAGTACTTCTTGGTTGTTTCAATGTTTAACCACGTCCTGGTTTACAAAGCAAAACAAGCCACCCCACTGCTGCAGGTCTGACCTGCCTGGGAATCTCTTTATTCAAGTGTCCCTGAACCCTATTATGCACATCCTCGCAATGAGCGGACCTTCTGGCAGCCAGAATTTGGAGAGATGGAGGCACTGATTAATCTTCCCCACCACAGAAAATTGCCACTTTGGAAAGTCCGAGATTTTCACTGGTAAATTCACCGTCCCCCTACCCTGCCTCCTTTTGACAGGTAAACTGAGTCGTGACGCCATATCCAAGTCCAAGGGGGGCTGCTGAGGAAGCTCGGGGTTTTCCTTCAGCTGTCTTCACCTTTTGGATGCGTCTAGTTTTGAACTGTGTTCTGTCTCTCAGCACCCTCCCCCCCCTCCCCCGTGCTACTCCCTGGGGGATTCGCGGAGCCAACTGATTTGAGACCTGGGCGGAGCCCGGAACCGGGGAAGCAGCTCAGAGGCCAGCGCCCCTGAGGGGCGGAGCGAAGCCGTACCGTCCCCGGATGGCTCGGGCCAATGAGCGCGGGAGTCGAGCGGGCCAATGAGCACGGGCAAGGGGCGGCAGGCCAATGAACGCGGGGCCGCTCCGGAGGCGGTGCTCGGAACGCGACCAGGAGGGCGACGCGGCGGCCGCAGCCATGGGCGCTGGGCCTGCGGGTGTGCGGAGGGGGCTCGAGGAACTGCCGGGCGGGGCTGGACAGACCGCCGCCGGGACTGGCCCTCGACGCTGAGCCGCGGTGGGGTCTCCGCCGGCGCTGCGAGGGCCTGTGAGCGCGAGCGAGGCGCTTCGGAGGAGCCGGGCAGCCGCCGGGCATCTCAGGGGGAGGGCCTGCCTGTCCGCCAGGTGGATCGAGAGGACCGTGTGGGCACATCTGGGGGTGCGTGGACCCCGCCGGGCAGGTTTCAGGGGCCGGGGCGCGTCCGCAGAGGCTGGCCCACACCGGCGGGGGCACCGCCGGGGCCCAGCGCCGCCTGGGTCCAGCGCCGCCTGGGTCCAGCCCCCGGGGCGCCCCTGGATGGCTGAACTGCCCTCTTGCCGGCCGCCCGGGCGCCGCAGCGGCTGAGATCGCTGGGATCGCCGGGCCGCCGCCCTCGCCGCCCCCTGCATGCCCGGCGCCCGGGTCGCGGCCCACCTGGACGCGCTGGGCCCCCTGGTCCCCTACGTGCCGCCGTCTCTGCTGCCCTCTATGTTCTACGTGGGCCTGTTTTTCGTCAATGTGCTGATCCTGTACTACGCCTTCCTCATGGAATACATTGTCCTCAACGTGGGCCTCGTCTTCCTGCCCGAGGACATGGACCAGGCGCTCGTGGACCTCGGAGTGCTCTCCGACCCCGGCTCGGGCCTCTACGATGCCGACTCGGAGCTCGATGTCTTCGATGGTTACTTGGAGTAGGCTTGGCTACCGTCCTCCCCTCCCCCCAACGACCCGCACCCCTCGGCCTGGACCAGCCGCCCAAATCATGCCGCCGCTGCTGGTTGGGGGCATCGTCGGGCCGGGGATGGGATCCCCAGGACGAGGCCGCCTCCGGCCTCCAAGATCTGTAAGTGCCGTCCGTTCCAGATGAGGGTGGGTTGGGGGCGCTGGCGAAGAGGATGGCATCTCCAGACCAGACACACACCCTTCCCCCAGGCTCCTGGAGGTCTCTTTGGATGCCAGCAATGGCCAGACCCTGTTAGGCCCTTAGCTGGGGCTGGAAAGCTTTCTCTGATGAAGGTGACAGTTGTTGAAGAGGGGAAGGGAGGCAGAGCCTAAGGGGTGTTTGGGTTAGCCATGGTACCTACTGCCACAGCTTGTAAGTGCCTTTGCACCCAGATCCCTTTGAGGCAGAGCTGTCAGCTCCTCCCTTCTGCCTCAGTCTGGCTTGATGGTGACCTTGGCTTTCTGGGGATTCCCATAGTCCTGAGAAGGATAAAGATTTGGAGTGTCAGAAGAGGTAGCAAGCCAGGCAGGGACCACCTTTGTCCTGTGGCCCCTGGGGTCTGGGTGGGGCCCGGCTGAATCAGAGAGAGGAGAAACCTCCTTCATCAAAGTCTGCACTTACTTTTGGCCTTGGGCTTGCTGCTACTTGGGAGTCGGATTTCAGGGTGCCCCAGCTCGACAGTTGCGCAGCTTGCATCTGCAAGGACTGCCAGTTTTGCAGGTTGCTCTCGCAGACCAGGCAAGCTAGGGCTGGCTTTGCCTGCAGTGTTTGCAAGGCCTCAGGGAGCTCTTGGGCCAGCAGGAGTAGGGACCACAGGATCTTTGCACTGAGGTGTTCAAGTCCTGCCTCTCGGCTGTGACCAGGAAGCTGTGTGTCCTGCCCCACCTCGTGTGTTGATGGGAGGGAAATGAAGGTCCAGGAAGGAGAGGGACTTGGCCAAAGTCTCAGAGCCGGCAAGAGAGGCAGCTGAACAAGATGAGAGAGAGAGAGGTAGGCAGGCTGTTGGGTCTGGTGAAGGTTCATGGGACTTGCAGGCATTCTTTGGCTGAGCTCCTCCACTGGACAGTGTGCATTGTCACTAGGCACAGGGCCTGAATGGCAATGAAGGGAGGATACTGAGGTGGCAAGAGCTCCTTCTAATGCCACTTACGCCAAGCAGGCTGAGTTAACTCCCCGCCTCTGTGGCCTGCCTTTGCCAAGATGACCATAGTCATAGGGAATGCAGGGTGGGGCAGGACCTGATATTGGTAGGGCTGAGTGCTCCCCCTGAGAGGTGGACAGTGAGATTTCTTTGATAAAACTTCATTTGAGCTCAGTGAGACCTTAGCAAGAACCAAGTGCCAGGTGGAGAGTGGGTCAACTGCCCTGCATACTTACCCAGTCTCCTTACCTACCTGCCTGCCATCCATCCATCCATCCATTCTTTTAACAAATATTTACAGCGTACGTACTGTGCCCAGTGGGTGAACACAGTGAACAAGAGAGACTTAGCTGTGGCCTCCTGGCCCTTGGTGAGAAAAGACAGATTCCCAAACAAGATGATCAGATTTTTTGAGAGCCATGAGGACATGTAGGAAGGACTTGGGCATCCCTATTGAGTTCCTGCTGCTTTCTCAGCACTTAGAACAGTGCCTGGCATCTAGTAGGCACTCAATAAATGTCTGTTGAGTGAGCGAAGCAAAATAGAGATGGGCTGCTTTAGAAATGAGGGTCAGGGAAGGTCTCTTTGAAGAGATGACACAGTTGAGCTGAGGCCTAAATTGGTAGCAGGAGCCAGACTGAAGATCTGGGGAAAACTAGTCGAGGCAGAGGGAGTCGCTAGTGCCAGGGCTGTAGGGTAGGAGAGTTGGTTTTTGCAGCAACCTAAAGGAGGCCAGTGTGGCTAAAGAGCAGCCCCAGGAGAGGTCTGTGGGGCAGGTGGGGGCCGACCGTACAGGACCTGGGAGGCTACGGCCATGAGCAATGGGAAGCCATCAGAAGGTTTGAAGCAGGAGATGACACAATTTCAATTCACAGTTTGCAAAAATGACTTTGGCAGTTGTGGGCAGAATGGGCTGTTGGGGCAAGTATGGAAGTGGGGAAGCCAGTTAGGAACTGTTTAGTTGCTCGGGCTGGAGGTAACGGGGGCCTGGATAGGGCAAGGTTGCTGAAGATGGGGAAACACAGACTGAGAACACCTTTTAAAGGTAGAACCTGTGGAAACCAGTCAAAACCCGGACTGAGTATTGATCATTGACCATGCCTGGTTCTAGGCCCTTTACGTATTCACTCAGTCAGCCATTCAACAAACTTTGCTTCTGCCTGCTCTTCTACCAGGCCCCGCGCTAGGCCTTGCAGATCTGAAAATGAATCTCTGCCTCCAAGCCAAGCGCTTGACTTTCAGACAGTGTAACTTGGTGAAGAATGTCTTATTTTATCTCTTCACCACATCAACAGAAACACTTCCCCTTCCAAATGAAAACATTGGCAGACTCTGAACCAAAAACTGAAGCCCAAATGCTTCGACAAACTTTGCAGCAAAGGCTGTTTGCGCAGAAAAGCCAGGAAGTGTGTCTCAGGGACACCTTTCCTTGCAAAGCTGTCAGAGTGCCTGGGCCCGAGCTGGGAGGTAGGGAGGCCGGGGGCTGGGGGCAATACTCGAGCCTGAAGAAGTGGGGAAACCACGCACAGGATTCCTTCTTCCCCAGTCCTGAAGCCAGGCCGGGGCGTTCTTGGCCCCAGGACCAGGGAAGCCCAGACTGGGGGAGGGGAAGGGTAGCCAGCAGCGGGAAAAGCCTTTGGGAAATCTCTAAAAATGGGCCTAAGCTCTGGGCCCCTTTCTGTAAGCAGAAGAACATCGGTAGTCAGATCTCATTCTTTCTGGCTTGTTCTCATGTGAACGTATTCTCATGTTACCCATGAGAAGGTCATGGAAGCACTAACTAAGGGTGTGGGGCGTGCTAGGCAGTGGGGACTGGGGTAGATCTCAAGGTGCACTCACTTGCTCTTTCTCTTTTTTCTCTTGGGTATGTGCCCACACAGTACGGTCCACCCAACATTTGTTGAGCACTTATCGAAGGAGGCAGTATTAGAGTCGGGATGAGGAGCAAGAACCTGGTTCAAATCCCAATCCTAGCTGTGACCTTGGGCATGTTCCGTATCTCCCTGTGTGTCCGTTTTCTCTTCTAAAAAGTGGGGGTAATGAGATGTTCCTCGTTGTGAGGATTAAGTGAGATACACATAAAGCTCGCAGACCTTCCTGTGTACAGTTAAGTGATATGTTATTAACCCCTGCTAGCATTAACAGTCAGATATAATGGAAAGGGTGTACACTCAGGCTCTTGCAAATGTATAAACCTGCACGTGCAGTCATGCATCAATACTTAAATCCCATGATGAGCCACAGAGGACTGCCTGCCTGAGTGCTGGATGGGTTCAAGTGTGGACCACTGGGACAGACTTCCCACTCTGCCCTCCTGGCTTGGGACCCTCAGGACAGCTTTCCCACTGCCTGTGGTCTCCAAAGTCCATGAGATCTGGAGCGCTGTGGAGCAAGCTGTGGCCTGCAGTTTTCCTAGAGTTTTAATCATTGCCCTGGGGCAGGGAGTGGGGAGTCAGGAGCTCCCTCGTTCCCAGGAGAAAGGGCCACTGCGGCTGGCCTGGGAGCCAGGGAGAGTCTTCACATCCCAGCACTTCCGATGCGGAGGCAGAGCAGCTGGATTGATCTGTCCCTGTGTTCCTGGCACAGAGGGAGGGCCGTGGGAGAGAGCCTTCCTGCACCGGAAATGGAGAGCCTGCAGAGCGTTGCTGCCAGAGTCGGTGGGGCCTGGTGTAGCTCAGACACAGAGCTAGGGTAACCGGACTCATCAGTCTACTTACTACAGGGTCTCCCGGCTTCTGGGTTCTGACTCGGTGCCACAGCTGCTCCTGATCCACCTGCCCCGGTCCCTCCATTCCAGTCTGCAGCCTGAGACAGCAGTAGGACACCCCAGCTGGCATATCACTGCCCTGCTCAGAAACCCAGACCTTCTGCAGGGACGTGGACCATAGATTGAAGTCATGGGCAATCCCACAGGCAGCTGGTGGAGCTCCTGCCAGGAGTGAGGGGAAGGAGAGCGGTCAGGGCAAATGAGGGGAATCAGGCGGTCTCCCGTAGCTGTGGTCCAGACAAGAGACAGGTGATGGTGGCAAGGAGAGGCATGTGTACCCCAGGCCTGGCTGACTTTCCAGCTCTGTCCTAGCACAAGGCTCACCTGGAAGCATGCTGGCCACAGGGTGCATGGGTGCTCGCTGCCCCTGTGGACAGGAGAAGGCCCCATTAGGGGTCTCAAGACAGCTGAGATGCCAGGGGTTCAGCTCCCTTGGCTCCAAGCTATGCAAACTGGAGGTTTCATCCAAGGAAGACCCTCACGGTCCTTGTGTCGAAAAACTTAAGGGCTCCTCTCAACTTGACCATTCATAGTCCTGATTTACCTGCTGTCTTTCCCCCAGAACTTCTGAAAGCTTAGCCTGCGTGTGGGAAATCAAGATCACAGTTAAAGGGACTGTTATCCGCATCTCACAGATAAAGAAGCTGAAGCCCAGAAAGGAGAAGTGAGGGGCTGGGGAGCAAAGCTGAGTGAGACAGCTGAGCCCCCCCAATCCAGTGCTGGGTTCACAGGGGCTGCAGGGGGCCTCCAGGAGGGGGCTCCCAAGTCCCACCTCGGAATAGTGGTCATGGTTCTGCCAGGCTTCCTGTGTAGATCTTCCTCCTTTTTGCTGAGTTTCTTAAATAAAACTTTATTTTGAAATAACTTCACAAGTATATAAAAGTTGCAAGAAGAGTGCAAAGAAGGCCCCTGTACCCTTCACCCAGAGTCACCGATTGTATGTATTTACATTTTGCCACATTTGCTCACATAGGCAATGTGTGCCCGCACTATATACGTGCGTGTGTATGTACACGTATACATATGTATAGCTATTTTTCTGAACCATTTGAAAGCGATTGCAGACATTGCGTTCCTTTACTCCTAAATATTTCACTGTATAGTTTCTTAGGTCAAGGACATTCATTTCCATAACCGCAGTGTAATTGTCAAGATCAGCAAATTTAACCCCGATGCAAGCCTATGACCAATCTA